TGCACGAATACAATATACCCTTTTACTCTACGAGTAACGGGTATAAATATTTCAAAATTACTGAACGATCGAATGAATCCGAGAATCCACATAGCTTAATTTTTTTTAAAATACTATGTATGTATGAGAATTAAATTATATTTTAATTGTGTAATAGCTGCAAAGGTATAAACATCCGGTCGCCAAAGTTACCTTCATTCCGTTTTTTCTTAAATAAACAGTAACATTTTTGCCTTATTTCAACTGCAAGTCATTTTTTTTGTGACTGCAGTGAAGAGCCTGCCAACGGATTCTCCATTGAGTCCGTCTTCGCTTCGTCTCGTTTCGCTTCCCGTTTCGCTTGCCGCGGCTGCTTTATTTGCAAGTCCAAGCTTGTTCATGGCTCGCGGTGCGTCCTGCGAAACAAAGCGACCAGCCACCTCCCCCGCAGAAACACCCAACCACCCACTGCCACCGCCCACCGAAAAGCACCTCCTCCGCCAGTTTCCCAACTCAGGACCAGCATTTGTGCTGCGTCGCTTTTGTTTGAAACTTTTCGTTTTGTTGTCGGCACAGCTAATTAAAAGAATGTTGAAAAAGTGTAATATGTAAGCAAATTTCTGCCGAGCCACATAAATAATCCCGATTATTTTACCTGGGCCGCCGCCGTACCTGCAGTATTTTATTTTCTTCCTTTGACGCTTTGTTTATTACGTCCCCGGTTCGCACAAAATTTAGATGAACATTCAGGGCATTAAAGTCACGAGGTCCCTTTGTAAATACCTAGTTGACCAGGACTGGGTCACTGGCCATGGAAATATGAATACCAGTCGGCGGGAGTGGGGGAAAATTGAGACAGCAATGGGAAAAGGGGAAGCGGGGGGCGGGGTAGCCGAGTGAAATGAAGGCAAACGACCCTGACTGGAGGCTAGACCTATGAAAATGGCGCAATTAGCTGCACAACTTGGCCAAAACGTAAGATTAATGACAGCCCCCGTTTTTTTCAGTTGTCGCTGCCTTATTGACTTGGAACCGGAGCCAATCGCCCGTCGTGTCAATAAAACGTTCGCTGTGTACATAAAAATAATAAATGACGTCGCCGATGGGTCCATCAAGACAGAGTTGGCAGAAGCGGAGAGTGGTGGTTGTTGGCAGAAAAAGTGCAAGTAATTAGACGCATAAATTTTATGACAACTTGGCCCTGAAACTTTGGCTTGACTTACGAGAGAGATTTACGGCTCCTGCCAAGCGAGATGGAGATGGCTGCCAACTATGCACTTCCTGTGCCCATGTAGACCCCGAATTTCCTGAATGTCGGACCAACCGGGCGTAAATAACACACCGTGCTATGTGGGATCAAGCGTTCTGGACTCGGGCATTGCCGGCACATGTTGCCCAATGTTGTTGGTTAATTGCCAGGCTAATGCCGCTCAGAAAGCTCTGGGGGCCATTCGGCTAAATGCGTCAAGAGATTAAAACTTTAAATTGTTTGGCGATAAACACGGGCGGGGCGAAAAGATGGCAATTAATTTAATTTTGTTGCGCATTTAACGGCAGGCTCTCGCCATTCCATTTAACGCCAAATGCGGATTGATCCGACGCACTTATTTCCGCCAAGCCATGATAATATTTCTATAATATTTCTCCACGGGCTGTGGGGTCTGCCAACAGGATATAAATAATTGGCGCTGACAGCTTGATAAATGGCTTTTCAGCCGAGTTAATGAAACTAAGACACGGCAAACGAGCAGCCAGTCAGCGCTGTAGCGAGTTTTTAAATAAAGATAATGCAGCAGACGGGGCCACGGTGCGTATGAGTAGCGCAATTTCCTGCCTGGCTGCCATGAGCTGCTGCCATTTACCATTCGTGTTCTTTTTTTCGGGGCACCGACAGCGTGCATGTGAAAATCTCTTAGCTACAATTTTGCCAGCTAATGCGAATGATAAGCGGGCATAATATATTTGCTGCCATTAGTGCGCTGCATTTGAGCATTCCTCAAAATGCGGCATTACCCGCCCTGCCACATTTTTGGGACCTTTTCCGCACACTCGCAGCATTTTGGGCTGCGACAGAGCGCAGCGTGCTACTGAGTGCTCAATTTATGGCGCACCCTCCTCTTCTCTCTTTGCATTCTCCCGCGGCCCACAAATCCGATTTCATTATGGAAAACATGCGGCGAATTAAAAGTAGACTTAGCAGAGTTACAACAAGGGACGACGCGAGTACCCGGAAAAATCTCAATGCAGTTCCGTTCAGTTGGGTGCTGGAAGCTCGTCTTCTTCCATTAGGAGCTATGCAATCGGCGGAGTGCGTGATGCATGAAGAGCCTGGAGGAGAAAATGCAGCGACAGCAACTGCAGGAGCAGTTCTGATATATGTGCATATAATTTAATGTTTGCGCATTTGGAGTTAGTGTCTTACCCGAGGCTGGGATGCACCAGAATTTCAGTCTAAGGTGCAAGACGCCAAGTCACAGCATACAGAAAGTTGAACAAAAAAAAATGATATCTAAAGGTGTATAAATTAGCTCGTCAGATACTGTGTAGCTCTACGATTTCTGCAGTTATCAGACAAAATATAATTATAATATTAAAATTGTTACCAAAAAAATTGTATACTGTATGTTATATATCTCCCAAATGATACTAATAATATGATATTTGCAACAAGGTCAAATCATAAGCTTAACGCTTTTCTTAAAATTATATTTTGATTTGACGAAATTCCAATTAATTCTTTTAAGATCCTTCCCTTTCTGTTTTAAATTTATTTGTAATGTTTCTAAGTCAAACAAAAGGATCAAGGTATAAGAAACCATATGTGTTTCATCACCTTTAAATCTGTTTGGGACATATCTGTTGGATATCAGGACTTTGCCCATCGCTGGCAATCCAGCAGCACCTTCGTAGGCAGTTAACATAATCAGAGCTTGACAAGTAATCTTCCGCCATGCATTGAAGATGAGTGCCCGCTGCCGAGTTGTTGCTGCTGTCGCTTGTTGTTTCCGGAATTTGTCACTCTACGGAGTGCGTGGGTGCATGTCCGGGACGGGAGGGGGAGGAGGGGTTACCTTGTTTGTCAGGCGACGGCCTTTTCGGATTTATTATGTTGATGCCGAGATGCTGATGTGTGCTGCGTGTAATTTGAAATTATGCGCGGCAGCGCCAAGACGTATGCTTAACATAATCAAATAACTCATACGCACCGTGTACACTTGATGAACAAGACGATGGGTATATAAAAAGCAAAGCGAAGGTGAACAACTTCCAGCTCTTGGCTTTTTCATTATCATAATTTCTAGCTGATTTCATTGAGCAGCCAGAAAGGAGCAACAACGACAGCAACAACAACAACCTGTTTGCCCGATTGATACGCTCAAGTTCGCTTTTCAATTATGTGCCCAGCAGACGTGACTATCGCGCATAATGTGTCTGATATGTTGGCTGTTGAGCCGCCTTCCTTTTCAATGCCCGCACACCTTTTGCAGGTGGATGGCTTCATTACGCTTTTATTGGCCGCCGCCCTCCTCCTCGTTCCCTTGAGAAGTATTTAGAGGCGGGCCCGGCCAACATTTGCCTTGAAAACAGGGCCCGTATGTGGGTTAAAACGAAAATGTAAACAAAAGGTAGCATAACGCACACATGGCCAGCGAATCTGGCCAGCAGCAACCCTTAGCAAACATATGCACCAAACGGGGCTCTTAGAAGGAAAAAGGGATTCACTTCCCCCTCCCTGAAAATGGCAAAACGTGAAAAGTGCTGCCACAAAAATAAGTTTCGGTTTTTGGTTTAGGCCAGTGGGACAAAAGCAAACAAAGCACAACAGAGCGCAACACAGTGCGGAATGTTTCGGAAAATGAAACACCGAATGGCCAGAGAGAATTTCCCCCCCAAGCACTCGCAGAGCGGAAAAGCGTCGCATTTCCCACGGAACATGCACTTGTGGAACGTAGTGTGCAAGTGGCAACAAGCGGTGCAAAACAAGTGGAATACGATACCAAAATTGAATAGATTATTTCAAAGAACATGACGTTATCGTTTGAATAAATATCCTATTTAGTAGGTTCCTTTCAATTTGAAGTACCACATACTTCTTGATAGAAGTGGTATATTTGATCAAATTTTCTGAAATAATTTAACCTGGGATCAAATTCTATTGCTTAAAATATTATTAGTTAGCTTCTTTTCTCCATCTCAATAAATATTACTAAATATACTCAATATATTAGAATGGTTCCTCCTTTCCTTATCGATGATGTTTTTCTTTTTTCAAATTCCATGCCTAATAATGAAGTACTGTGCTCAAAGCAAAGTATATTAGGAATGGTATGTTACATCTTTAAAAGACGTTTAAAATATCATTCTTTATAATACCCTTTTATGTATTCTTACTAGTTAATGTTTTCGGATTTTAAAATTATGTAAAATAAGTCCAAGTACTGTATATTTTCAGCTGGGCGTCCAATAACAAAAACTAAAGTCAAAATATTCTTATTCTTATTTATTAACTATTAACATTAACTAAGAGATTTTAATTACCAATATGTGTTGCTCAATCGAATAGATTGTCCCTTTTGATAATTAATGATATTATTATCTTTACCATGAACCCAATAAACAAAATACAAGACAAATATTAACATTTTATAATTGCTTTTTTGTTCATATTTACATACTCAGTTATTTGTTTGGGCACAATTTTATTGTGTTGTTTACATTGCCAGAAATTTGATCTGTTGACACCGCAACACTTGCAAATGGAATTGGTAAACAAAGGCGACCACTGCAAGTGCGGGACACTCAAGATGAGCATTTCAAATGAGCCAACGGCACCCACAACTTGGATGCTTTCGGAAAACCAGAAAAACCGGAGAGAGAGAGAGCAACAGAGAGAAATTCCCTTGGCGAAAAACGACAACAAACGAACGAACGCCGCGCACGAAGCACTGGCAATTGTGGACGGCAATTTTGGTAGCAAGCTGGGCAGCGATGAAAGCGCCAGCGGACGGCATTCAGTTAGGATGTGCAGTTCCAGCGGTGCGAACGTGTCCCGGGCGCGCCAATTGGCCAAGTAGCCGACACCAGCTAAAAGAGCCAACCAAATTCAGCCGGAACGGCAACAGTTTCTCCTCAAAAACGCCAGCGCCGAAATATGCCAACGCCTGACTGAGGGCCGAAATCGCGGGTCGCGCGTTTTTGTGTAAATAAACAGAAATTAAAAGAAATCGGACGCAATCAGATCGAGAATCAAGCGATTCAAAAACAGCTTTCATTAGCGCATCCATCTGTCAGAGAGATCCGCACCATTTATTTTTCGGTTTCAGTGAAAAAGCCCAAGTTATTCAATTAAACTTAATGCCAGCGGGCGGAATGTCAGACCGATGAGTTGGCCAGCAGCGGACCCGTAACGCATACGCCATGTGAGCCGGATCGATGGGATCGCTTTCCGGCCAAGCCACAATGCCACCCTCCTGTAAATAGCCAGCAGCCTTTTCTACTCGCGTCTCTGTCATGTGTCCGTGTCCGTGTATCCGCCACTGTACATACTGTAGACTCTAATTGATTAAACCACAATAAAAAACCACAAAAAGAAATCGAAGCGTAACCAAACAAAACAAAACAAAAAATAAATAAATACATAGAGGAAAGAAGCGCGCGTTTTCGCCACAGAACGCGCTACACACAAGTTTCGGTGCAAAACGGGTATAAATAATCGAAATAATATTCGAATGCTATGCTATATGCTATAGGAATTAGTTAAATTATTAGAAATAAGTCGATTGGAATTTCGCGCGCAATAAGATTTAATTATAAACACTGGCAGCATGGGACCAATCAGACTCTAGAGCTAGCCAAGCATCCACAGACTTAGTTAGACGAAAGCAGATCACGATGGATTACAGTCGGCTGAATGCGAACATCAATACGGGCAACATCAGCACCGATGACTTTCTGGCCGTGTTCACGACCGGAAAACCGGAGAATGCCACCCTCAATCCGCCCCTGCTCAGTGTCGATGGGCAGCTGACCCTGCCCCCGGGATCGGGATTCATCAATGTGAATGACACGATATTCCTGCTGAATGGCAGCTTCTACAATAACAGCCTGCAGATGGCGGCGGGATATTATAATCAGAGTAGCGGGGCAGGGGCGACATCGGGCAACCTGACGAATCCGAATCAAACAGAAGTCCACTGGGATGGCCGATATCCCAGCGGCTATACGCTCACCCACATTGTGATCGCCTCCATTATCGTGACCATCCTGATGATTATCATAGTGGTGGGCAACATGCTGGTGATCATAGCCATTGCCACGGAAAAGTCGCTGAAGAACATACAGAACTGGTTCATCGCCTCGCTGGCGGTGGCCGACTTCTTCCTGGGCCTCATCATCATGCCCTTCTCGTTGGCCAACGAGCTGATGGGCTACTGGATCTTCGGCAGCTGGTGGTGCGACATCCACTCGGCGATGGATGTGCTCCTCTGCACCGCCTCGATCATGAACCTGTGCCTCATCTCGCTGGACCGCTACTGGAGCATCACCAAGGCCGTCGACTATCTCAAGTCGCGGACGCCGGCGCGGGCCGCCGTTATGATCACGGCGGTCTGGATTATGTCCGCCCTCATCTGCATTCCGCCGCTCCTCGGGTGGAAGGTGAAGATGCCGGAGGGACCGCTGCCCAAGTGCGAGGTAAGTGCTCCTAAGTGGCGCAATAATCCGCATCCCATGCGAAATTGACGCCAATTGACGGCAATTGACGTTGCGGCACCAACAATCGAACAATGGAAATACATGCGGGATTGTGCGATTGAAAGGCATTATGTGTGTTGCCCGATTGGCTATTTTCAGGTTGATTCGGATGGAATGGCTGGTTTTTTGTTTCATTCCTATCAAACGAAAAAATAATGGTTGTGTTATAACCATTGCTTTAAATAAAAAGCAGTCATTTTTATTACAACATTATTAGCTTTTGGAATATCGATTTGAACCAAAATGACGTAAAAACGTAAAGTCATTGCTCAAATTTTTCTACGAATTATACTTTTTATAAAGACCAATTAATCGAGCTTAATTTTCATTGCATTTGGGATTTTAGCCTACATTTAATTTAAGATATATTAACGATATTGCTATTTATGCAAAAAATAATAAGAAAGTCCTATAATAAATATAACATTTTAGTATAAAGCAGCTTGTAGGAATGATTTTTAATTTTGCCAATAATTATTAATATAATTCAAATTTTCTATCTCTTTGCACAAATTGGCGAAAAAGTTTCCAAGGAATATTTTCGTAATATTTTAGTAATTCACTGAGCTATTTTTAGCAACTTATCCATACCTAATTTGCCCACTTTTGCACGTCAATAGATGCCATCGCTGCTGAGTATTCATATTTGCAAACAATGAAGCGTCGAATGGCTAAAATGCTGCCAAACGCTCGGATAGCAACATGCAAAGCGCAAAATTGCGGCCTCTTTCTATGCAAATTTGCGAGTTGCCGGCACAATTGTCAGATCGTTCGGCAGTGCCTTCGTTGCTTTCCCCAACCAAATCCAAGCCAACCCATCCCCCGATTTTTGGGTCACGCAGAGAATAAACGCAGAAGTATTTATGCATATGAGTGGCGGGTACATTCCGAGCGAGTCTAATTCCGCCAGCTTGAGCCCCCGACTGTCTAATACAGTCGAAGAAGGCTCCAAGCGGGCCCCAAAAAGTAGGCTATAATCCATAGAAATATGCGCATTATCATGCGGGTCTGCGTCTGCCAGTTGGTGAATTTGAATTTCTGGGGGCACAAGCGATACATGCAAACCCTCAAACGCAAGTGTATTCGTAAGGGGGAGAAGCGTAACAAACTAGCTGGAAAATTCACAAGAGAAATTCCTGTGCCGGGGCAAGACAACACATCAGTAGCTGCCACAAACTGCCATACTTGCTGCCCTGTTTTTGGGAAAATTCTTTAAATTTTGCCACAAATTGAAAACGTCCTTCAAAAGAAATCGATGCAGTCACTCACCGAAGCCAAAGAGTGAAACATTCAATCACAGTGACTGAACCCCTCCGATAGCCATTGGCACACAATTCGCCTGACCCCAGAGGAATTTCAGCTTAAAGTGGCCTTTTTGCGCAACGGAACTCAGTGCCAACAGTTGCAAACAATTTAAAACGTTTAAAATCTTAACTGTCTGCCCAAAAACACAGAAAAACTGTGCAGTGAATATAATGGTCAGTGGTGGGTTAAAACCACAATATTATTTATTGCAATCATGATAAATGCGGAGCGAAATGGAAAATGCAAATGTCCCAGGGCATTCCCCTCCATATCGTTTCTATCTGTATCTCGCCTGTCTCCAGAATTTTTGATTAATTTTTTTTTTATTTTGCTCTCCTCTGCCCATCGTCCAACACACACTCATTGGACAGTAAATAAAAAGGCAGAAAAAAAGTAGCAGAATATAATAATAGAGTGAAAAGCGAAAGCAGAACGAAATAAAGTATCTTAATATAGAAGAATGCTTACGTAAAGTTTGCCATTCAAATTAACCTTGAGACAATAAAAGCCGAGCTGTGGGCAAGGAGCCAGTGGAGGGGCCGTTTTTATTTACGATGGCCACCGTCCAGTTTCGCCGGCAAATGCTGGCACATTAATCAAGCCTAAGTGGACCGGATAAAGTTCTAGCTCCGGCGAACGAGCAAACATGTTTTTAGCAAATTTTAAGCAGTCTAAACAACACAAAATGACAATTTATAATGGCAAAACTTTTCTACTTACGAACATTAGTTCGTGTGCCCGCCGCCCAAGGGCATCGATTACCGCTCATCTCCTCAATCATTATCCAGAGGCACTCAAATTAGCTTGGTGTCATTTTTGCAAACAAATGTCAGAGAAACCGAACCAACCGCTAAACTAATCAGCCAACTACCAACTACACAGAGGACAACAATTGGCTTTAGTTTCACATTCAAAAATTAATTTTACCTCTTTAATCAAATCTTTTGCAAAAAATTCGTATTCCTAGCTCCAATTAATACAGGTCAGTTTTAGATAAATATAGGTATATATAAAAATGGGAAACGATTTAATAAGTTGTCAAACAATTAAATGGTATACTTACAATACTAATCTCAATAAAACGGTGCTTGAATTTGTAATTATAACTAAGTAATGTTAGTCTAGTTGGACGTTATATTTTTCAAACACCATTCTTATTAGTAATTGTTGAACATTAACAAAAGATTTCCCGCCAGTATTTTTATTTGAACCCTAACTTCTTGTAAAATTGTGACTTGAAATTTTACCAGTGAACATGATTTTTCACTGTGCACTGCCGAAATCGAGACATAGCTCTGTCCAATCATTAAACATGTCTCCCGGCGAATTTTTCGGAAAGGAAATGGCTGTCGGCATCGGCCTTGTCCGGGGCTGGCATGTAAAACCTCCAATTTGCAGGCCCAACAGGCGGATGGGGTGGTGCCCCGGCGAGTGGCATGGCCTGGTGAACATTTTAATTATGACACCATGTTGACATGTACAAAATTGTTGTTCGCCGCCGCCGCCGTCATCGTCGCACATTGAACCGCAATACAAGCCGCAGGGGAGGTGGCACAAAAGGGGTTGCCGAGGCGCTGATTTGACACTTGCCTGCTCGATTTAATTAATAAAATAGCATTTTAGAGCGCGATGACGCTGATTTCGGGCCACTTGAGTTTGTCTCGGCGTTGAACTATTTTTGGCTCTTTGTTTCCCCTTGGGGTGGGAAATTATTTTGACAGGCGCATTTAATTGACATCATCTGCCGGCGGTGGTGAAAGTTTGCGACCCCTGATTAATGCCGAACCTAATGAGGTGTATCCCAATATGCGTGCGTGGGTGCTAGTTATTTTCGTACGCATAATTCAGAGTCCCGCGGTGAGACCCAAAATCAGCTGGCATTGTTCGCCATCCACGTAATGGCTGCAATTTCGCTCAGCAAGTGCCTCAATCTGGGGCCAACAAATATAGAAATAAACATACAAAAGGCCGCTTATTGAATGGAGTGGCTGCTCCCCAAGACGAAGGGAAAATTCTAATTCCAAGAAACTACATTATTCACTGCCCGCCCCACGGAGCTCATCGGCAAACTCAAGCTGCCGCCCATTGTGTCCTTTGTGCAGTGCGGTGCCAAAGGGTCGCACAATGGACCTTATTATAATCCGTAAAGGGGGCAAACACTTTATTGAAATATTAATCGAATATTATATACCATTTTACGGAACATGCACAAAAGCCAGCCATCACAATGGAGCTACAAATGGCCAGAGACCAGGATCAAAAGTGCGGCTCAATCGGCTTTTGGCCCTCGAGCAACTTTCCCCCAATCCCGGCGAAAGTTTTGAGTTAAGTTAAGACAAAAACCTAGAACTTGGCAAGGGTTTACGAGACTCAAATTACGGGCCAACAGTGCGTGTGTGTAATGTAATGTGTAATGCGATGATATGCGCCAGCACAATAACGACTTAAGTCATTGCCTAAGTAGCTCATTAGCGTCAGTTTTTTTTTGTGCCGGCACTTTAAAGGAAATTAAGAGAAAACTGACGAGTGGCAGGACGGAGAAACCCTCTGCCGTAATAATGGCTTTCTTCAACCTCAATGTCGTGGCCGGCGGCAGTCGAGCTGCAAGGGCTTTAAGTTGACATTGAGCCTGGACGGGTCCCAAGTCCAAGCCCACGTCCATAGACCAGAGTGTGTGCGTGAGCCTGGGCACTTTTGATATTTTCTCATTATTCCGTACATGTGCATGTTGAGGCTGTAATTCTCGTTAGGTCTTTGTTACATTTCATACACTTGACTTGCTCAGCTTCAAGACGGGTTGTTGTTTCTGTACTTACATCTGCCATCCTAGATGCGCATGTGTCCTACCGTAGCCCTTTATGTTGGCTAAAGTATTTTACATTTTCTTTTTTGGCAAAATTTTCACGCAAAAACAGGCAAAGAAATGCCAGGACTAGCTACGAAAAAAGGTTCAAAAGCAGTGGGCTAATGGGCTTAGTCCTTGAGATACTTTCTCTTGCCGGGTTTTGGTGTGCATGTTTATCTTTCCCTGCACTTGGGGAAAACATAAAATATTTACTAGCTTGTAAAGTTTAAAAACTTTATTTAGCATGTATATTCATGGCATCTACTTTTAACATTTAAACATTTTTTTATTTATTTTCTTATATATTTCTACCCTTAACCAATTTAACAGTGTTATACAATCAAACGGTTGTATAATGGCAGTTTAATAATTTATTTATATGCCTTGATTAATTGTAAAAATATAGATAATAAATTGTAAAATGCACGAAATCTTTGTTTACATATTAAATTCATTCATGTTTTTTAAAGCACCTTTATTTCTACCATATTCTGAAAATAAGTTTTTTGTCTTCTGCCTTGACTCCCAATATTAATACAGGAAAATAAATGTTATTTTAGTTTTTAAAGTACCCGTATAAAAATCACTTTATTTAGTCTTGAATTCAACGTAAGAATTTAAAATGAATACTTTTTCTATTTTTGTTTTTGGATTGATTGCAACGCTCTTAAGTTTTCAGTTTGAGCTTAGGTGCTTTTTTCTCTCCCTGTATTTTGTAGGTTAGTGTGTTCACTATATGCCCCAAACCACGTTTCCACATCCTTGGAAAAGTTCACTTTTCTCGGCCATT